ACATTGGCATTTTTACAGGTTTAAAAGTGAAAATTTGTGAAAACTGATAGCACCATCAGGAAGCTAAGAAAAAAGTGTGTAGAGATTCAAGCTTTTCTGATTTTTAAAACATTTTTCTCAGGCCCAAGTGACGAGATGAAAAAGTCGAATTTTGCGCTCACGTGGCCTGTCTGCGGTAGCACTGGGGCAGTTGAGAAAATTCTCCCCATATGTGTATTGTTATTTTATTAATAAATTTCAAAAATAAAATATAATGTACAGGTTTATACTTTAAAAAAATTTCGTACATTTTTTTGCATATTTGTCAAAAATATATTAAAAAGTGTATTTGACTAAAAATTATCGGATAAAAAAAAATGTCCATCAAGTCATAATATTTTCGGATAATAATTATTTTACCTTGTAAACTTTTTATTTCATTTTTATTAACAATTATGCATATATTAAAAAATGCATCTCAAAAGCTTAATTTTTTTTAATTAAAATGTAGGATCAAAATGGTAATTTGCGTCCCTCGGGCGACGTGCTTCCTACCAGCTAATTACTTTCCGCCCACGGGCGAGACGAAAAATTCTGGTCCTGCCTGGCCGAAAGTTTGTTCCTGCCCTAGGGCAGAAAGTAATCCACGGGCCGAAAGTGTGCCCATGGGCGCAAAGATGCACTTTCAACCCTGGATACAAAAAATATCGTTCTCACCTCAGGCACAAACATACAACAACCGCGCCCTTCGGGCAAGCAGGTTGTACTTTCTGCCCTAAGTAAGAAATCTACTATTTTCTGATTCTAATGAATCATGGATTTTGCTTACGTCATAAAATAATTCCCTCTTAAAGTTACCACGTATGAAAGATTCCATCAAATTACATATTATAAGACAAGCATTTTGCGTAACACATTTGCAATTATTTATTTCTCTCTAATCTTTGAAATATCAAATTTGTTAGAATTTGTTTTTTTTAGCAAAGACAGAATGTTAATACCAACTAAAATTTGAAAGAATTTGCCAATAATAGAAGAATTTCTACCCAACTGTGATTGCAAATTATGCTGCACAAAAACTTGTCGCCATGTTCACGTTGAAATATTATTTTGTGAATACTGCTTATTTTTAAAAAAATAATACGTGTGAAAGTCGTTATAATTCAAACAAATAAAAAAGCAATATAAGCATAACTATTTAGAGTGGACACAGTTTTTCACTAAGAGTACTTGATAAACAATACATGCATCGTAAGAGTTGAGTGATGATGATTGTCAGGTGCACAAGGTAGATTAAATGTTATTAAAAAACAAACAGAACATTGACAAAATTGTAAATATTTTTCTTCATGGATAATTACATTGTTTTGCTAAATACACTTCTTTAAATATGTTTGTCAAATCAGAAAAATGTACAACAAAGTTAATTGAGTAAAAACCTACATAGCCTAATTTGTTTTTATAATTTGTTGTTAACAAATTATTGCATTTACAACAAAAATCTTTTGCTATCAAAAGATAATCATGTAAAAAAATGATGTGTCATGTATTTGCCGTCTAAAAGGCCATACAACACTTTATAATAAAAATATTTAAAAAATATCGAAAACGCTATTTTTCTATGACCTTTATGTAAACAACTGTTACAAGATTCAACTTGTTAGTTAAATAGATCTCGTAGTTATAAAAAACTTATATTTTTACTGCCCTATTTGTCGTTTTTGCTAGAACCTTATTTATTTATTGAAAAAAAAATTACTTTACATCAATAAACAAAAGAAGGCTCTCGTCAGAGCTACCCGGTTCTTACTTGCTTATTGTTTGAACTTACCTGCTCGTCTGGTACAACATTCTTTTCCTCATTTATTTAAATATTTATTAATCAATATATTCATACATTAAAAAATCAAGTAGACTACTTTGATTAAGTGATTAAAGCACACGTAATGTACTTTTTGATAAATAAATAAATGGTTTTGAGATGCTTAAAATTGACACTTGTCTACTCGTCTTTTGGCATCTTTTTTATAAATTATTTATTTATTAATTTAATTATAACTAATTATCGATTAATTAACTTAACAAGTCAGTCAGAAAGGCTGACGTTTATTCCGTTACTAATTCAAAACTTGCGTCAGAGTTAATCTTTATCATAACATAGCGTAGTAGGATTGTTTTCAACATAGTGAGGCACTGTGGGATTTCTTTCGTTGCAACATTGTACGGAGGGATTGTCTTGCTCGTATTGCAGAGTGGTAGGATTGTCTTCATCGCAACGTTGCACGGTGTGATTGTCTTTGTCATATTGCGGTGCAGTAGGATTGTCTTCGCTGCAGTAAAGCACGGTAGGATTGTATTCGTTGTAGCACAGTGCTGTGGTATTTTATTCGTCGCAGTGTAACTTGGTGGGATACTTTTCACAAAAGTGCCGAGTTAGGATAGTTTTGCTAAGATTGCAAGGTGCTGGGATAGTCTTACTCTCAGGCGTCGTTCTATCTCAATTAGTGATCAAATGGAGGTCCATCCTTTAGAAATTAACAGCGATAATATTGATTTTTTTAACGTAACAGAGCCAGTTGACATAATAGCCCGTTTTTCAACTGAAGTCAATCCACAGTGTGCTGGCAACGATGCAAGTAATGATTCCGGTGTTTTTTGTATACCAGAGGAAAATGCATCGGTATCAAGTTCATTAGAAGTTTTTAATGAACTTGGAGAGCTTGTGCCAATTATTAATATGACAGATGTATCTGTACAAGATTTGACGCTGGAGGAAGGTAACTAGATATTTTTAATCTTTTTTACTATGGTTAACTGTATTTGTTTATCTCATCATTTTTAGCTGGAAAAAAAGATTCTCCTCTTTCAACGAGCAAGTCCAACGATGCGACAAGCCACTTTGACTTGAATTGTAAGAGCAATCATAGGACTACAATACTTGAACCTCAAACAATACGTTCAAATGGATATGAATTTCCAGAGTGTAAAAAATTTATTTGTTACATGTCATTGTCTACACCAGTCAAAAATTATGAAGATAAATTTTCTTATTTGCAGGCCAAAATATTATTTCCAACAGTGAATTAAAGAAATCGAGTGACTGTTATAAGGACCCTGTTGACTTGTCATGCAAAGATGACGGCCAAAAGACAAATTTGAATTGCAGTATTCTACAAGGAGTGGATACAAATGTCTCAGACTTTGGTAACGAATGTTTCCTAAAAAATTCCACAGCTATCGCAACAAATAATGAAGTATTGGCCAAAGTACCAAAAAAAGGTAGAATTTTTTGTTTTATGTTTGATTTTTTTTTTTCATGTAGATACTTTAAATTTTATTGTTGTTACTTTTTATGTTCGCAGATTTTGAGAGTATTTTTATAATTTCGAGTGCTCCAGTCCAAAAGATGAATACAATGTTTCAAGGAAACTCGGCTTTTGTCATTGATGATTAAATAACTTTTCTTAAACAAGAAGATGATGAAAAGAAAGCCAAAGAAAAAGAGATAGAGTTAAGAAAGTTGAAAAAAGAGAAAAATAAGCAAATGAGAGAGAAGGAGAACGATATTAATAAGGTATTAAAGAAAAAAAAGTGCAATTGCTAAAAACCAAAAAAGAATTACAAAAAAAAATTAGGAACACAAAAAAACTTAATACTAAGACTATACCCGAGGATACTACTGCATTAAAAGATTAATTGAAAAATTTAAAGGAGCGTTTAGAATCCATCGATACATCGATTCATCTCCATGAAATTGAGGCTTTATTAAACAAAATCAGAATAAAAAAAAGAAATAATATAAGGTTTAACTTATAATAAGAAAGATTATGTATTAGTAATGAGGTTTTTTTGTCGATTACGTTTGTTATGTCACTAGTAAGAGTTCTGTAACCTTTATACATCTCGTATTGCTTTTAATTAGTGTGATAATTTAAAAATTAGTTTGAATGATTACCATAACTTCTGTCAGAAAATTAAAAATTGAACTGGTATTTAATCATTATTAATAGTTACAGGCAGTTTATTAATGATTCTAATTTTTTTTCAAATGAAAATTTATTTCACATTCTATTTGTTCAGATATCAGTCCCATATATTAACCCTAATTTCAATGATAAAAATCTTTATAATTAAAATTGCCATACAAAAAATATGTAATTGTAAAAATTTTTTAAATTTAGAATAATGCTTAAAATAAATTATAGCGTAAGAGTTGAGNATACTCACGGCTCGGAAAAAAAAAATTGCACAACATTTCTACAAAACCAGAAATTATTTTCTAAACTATTGTTTACTTACCTTCAAATGCTAATTTTTTATAAAATGATAAATTATTTGGCTACCATCAAAAGTTGTCCAGATATTGGATCTTTCACCTTACCATTTAGATTGTTTGCTCTCAAGGTGGTCTAAGTAACATTATCCCCGTACCAACGAATTGAAATCACTGTATCTAATAATGTAAACTGTATTACCAATAATGTAATATGTAACCAATAGTGTAATATGTAACCAATAACTATGTAAAATGTGCTTTACTGTACCAAGGCTATATATACTCGTTTACAATAAATCCAAAAAATAAATACACTACGTAAGTAGGTATTCATTTGAAAAAAAAATTTTTATGCACTCGGAGGATTATACAAGAAATTTATGCAGGTATATGTATATACAGACTCTGGCGTGCCACGATTTTTTCATTTGCACCATTCCAGTACAAAGTTACAGTCTTTAAACTAATAATTGTAAGAAGTTGTCATAAAGAATACATAATATAACATCTGACATATTTTTCTCAACAGAAAAAAATACAAAATAATACAGATGTATCCAAAAAAGTGCTGTTGTTGATAAGTAAGTATGACCTACAAAATACTTTTTCGTTAGCTCATTGTTTTTTAAAATTTTTTAACTTATTATGTTGCCTGTAAAGCACCTTCATGTTCTTATTAAAAAAAAAAAAAACATTGATTACTGATTAATAAAGATATAACAAAAAAAAAACATGTTTGGATTACCTCATAAGGTAGTTAACTGTGCCATTACGGTAAATACGTAAAGCGAAATGTACAGGTATGAGAGGATCTTTAAAGTCACCATGCATGATAAAGTAGGTATCTGGCAGCCAGATGTCGTTGTGATGGTGTATAGCGTTCAAGAATTCGTAGCGTGACCTGTTGCTGTAACGAAGCCTTGGATCGTACCACTGCTGTTGCAATAAGAACTCCACCTCGTATTTCTGTAAACAAAAAATTTGCGGCTTTCTTCATCATACGTTTATTAACTATAGTAATCCAACCGTCAGACTAATCATTATGAGTCCATGGTAATAATATATTACGCAACTAAACTAGTAAAGTACGAAAAATCTCTGATTGTGTATTGTCACTTAAGGTGAATTTGGATTCGCCATGATGTATCATTGTAATAAGATACTTTACTAGCCTAAGTGCGTAACATTGCATTATGGTTTAGGTGGTAGTTTTTGTCAGATAAGTGCCATCGTATCTGGGGCTATTTTGCAGCTCGAGGGAGATAAGGTAGCCACGTAGCGATGGTGCTTACGTGGCAAATCCTTTATTTTCTACAGAGGGCACTCAAGCCTCTCCAAAACGCTCGAGATAGGAAAAGAAATGAAAAAAACTTTGTCAACTTGGCACAGGTTTCAATGAAAAATTATCTAAACAGTATCTTTTACGAGAATATATCAATAGAGTCAACATTTAAATTTTAATAAAATGACAATAAGTAGTGAACTATAACATATTTCTTATGTAAGGTAGGGTGAGGCAATTGGAGTACTTTTTTACAGCCTCATCTCTTAAACCTTAAGGAACCTTGAAGCTTTGAAACTGTGTACTTATATTTTTTGTTAACATTTTACTATAATAATTTTTTTATCATATTTTGTTAATATTCGTTATAATTTTTAGCAATAATAGTATTTTATATTATGAACTTTGAAAGCATATAAATAAGCTTAGTGTTCCTCTTTTGGTGTTGCCATCTTTATAGTAACATCTACTAGGACCAATAAATTTGTAGACATTAACGTGTATGCAAATAAAATTGTTGACCGGATGAACGCACATGGTTAAACAGCTTTAATTTTCAGCTTAAAGAAAGAGCCATAAATGTTAGCTACAAAAAACACATGAATACAGCTAAAAAACGCATAGATACAGCGAAATTCGTAGCTTTTTTTATATATACATTAACAGCTGATAATTTTTACCAAAAATACTTAAAGAACTGATTTTAAGGAGGTTCAGGAGAATCAGTTGAAGAGTCAAAAAAGGGAAAGTCTCCCTACGTGTGCAGCTTCGCCTCTTTTACTACGCACCCTCTTTTATGCCCAACAAACTTAATACTTTACTTACATTAGACGTTTGCATTATTCTGAATGCTCTACAACATGCATGAAAATTTATCTCGCTGAATTCTTAAACATAAATTAATTTGGAGGTAGGTTTTTTTCCATTATCTTTGCATTTTCTGAAAACTTTTGTCCGTATAAGTGAGACAAAGAGATTACGTTTCATAGGAACCTATGGTAATCATATGCTTTTCGTTTGTATAGTTCTTTTATAAATGATCTATAACAAATATTTAAAAAATTCATATAAGCTCTACGTATTGTAGATTATCCTAAAAACTTAATGTTATTATAATATCTGCATTTTATTATTACTTCTAAATCTCCTTAACAGTGCACTGCGAGCTTTCTATGCACTTTAGTTTCGTTTTTCTTATTTTTTTGTTTTTAGTTTTTTTTTGTTTTTTTGTTTTTTCTTTTGTACTTTTGTAACTTAATATTCTTTAATTCAATATTTATTATTTTATTTGGAACTGCACTTCACTACTTTTCTAATTGAAATTATGTGTATGTGTACAATTTATGTGTTGCACCAGTCAACTATCATTGAATGTTCATGGGCCCTTTGGCCCGTGAATTGAATAAATGAATAAGTAAAAACTAATCCAGTATAGTTTTTGTTATTCTAAGCATAATATCTCAAAATTCTATTGTAGCTTGACTTAATCGAAATATATTTATATAGTCACAGACATATACATTTTTACTTAATATATTAAAAACATAGGCAAGCATTAACAGCTGGAATTGACAGGTTACACGTAAATTTCATATAATCATTCTTACAATCTTTCATACTCTGAAATTATAATGAGTATTTATTTCGATTCGACAAACGATATTTATTAAATTTTTTTTTTAAATTGAAGCAGTTTTGATGAATATTAATTTGACAGTCACGCCTTTGACTAAGGGGTCATGAAAGAACCTCATTAAAGATGTGGACGACGTCCCTGAGGAATTCATTATCCATACATGAGTAACTAAATATTGTTTCAAGAGCTGCTAAATACCAATAATTGTTAGGATCTTTAACATTAGAAAAAAAGTTCTAACTATAACCATGACAAATTCACACAATGATGTTACCTTCAACACGAGTGATAACATTTTTTTATGGCAGTTATCGTTCTTAATTATAATAAAGTAATTCATGAATCCAACTTCGTTGCTGTCAAATTCAGATTGAGTTACAGTACGTAAAACTTTCACATAGTCTACTAAGATACTTTTCGTATTTGCCAAAACTTTATTGGGCTTAAAGCTTACATGTATCAACTTACATTTAACATAAATATTGTAGTTTCTATAACTGGTGGCACATTTCACTAGGGCCAAAACCAGTAAACTCTTGGCTAGATGCGCATGAGGTATAAATTATATTTTTCTTAGTGAGGACGTAGTAAATGTCAAAAGGTCAAAAACAAGTCCATGGTATAAGGAATATGTTTATATACTACTAGGGTTCTGCTCCTCTGCGTGTTTCACAAGCTAACCCCTCCTTTAGCTGATATTTAAGTACAATACATGAATCTCAAGGGATCAAAATATTTACTCATTAATTAAAGTAAAGCAATTAGGTAAATGTGTTTAAATAAAATCATTCTTTCAATTTTTTTCAAAACATTCGTTTATGTTTGTGATAACTTCGTATAAGTATTGTGAAACAACAACTTAAAAGATACATATTTTAAGAGAAAGTAGTAAAAATTTTACGTAATAAATATAGTTATAGCATAAACTATATAAATATAGTTATAATAATATAGCTATAGTTGCGCATAATAATGGCCTTTAAGTAATGAACAGTTTTTTTTTTTAGTAAATATACCAGAGAAAAAATAGATGAGGAACAGATGGATTTTTCAAGAAAAAAAAAGAATGAGCAAGTATATTCGAATTTAAATACACTATTATTACTTAATAAAATTATAATAATTAATGAAATTATTACATACACTTATTTTTGCTATTTTTTTTTCAATCTCAAATCGCAGTCTTCTATCTCTTCGTAACTTCGTTGGGCTACTAGGGATGATAACCACTATTCCTATTACTTTATTTTCAATAAATATGAATGATCATATCTTGTCGTAGAAGTGCTCTAAAATATTTATAACTTAACGTATGAAAGCAATAACAATAACAATAAAAGCTACCGCACCTTAGCTGTAATACTTATTGACGTTTGTATTATAAATAAATGTAACAAAAGAAATAAATAACTATACACAGCTAAGGACAGCAGTGCTTTAAAGTATGGCATGGAGGGTTGTATAATAAGATATACAGAACAAATTAATTGGTTTGAAATAAATTTTGTTAAAGTTAGTGTATGGAGGGTGATAGAGTTCTTGTTGGCGGATACTTAAAAATGTCTGGGGTGATGTATGGGGTCGTAGATAAATCTACGGAGTTTTTAATTATTTTATGGGGCTATGGGAGGGGGGTCGTGAAGGTGCTTTTAAAATTTTGCGGGGGGCCATGAGTGGCTAGGGAAAGCTATATGTCTTCCAGGTTAAAATTATTTACTTTTTACTAACAGCGTTATAGCAATCAAATTCTTTCTTTAGTTAGGTGGATCATTATGGGGAGGAGGGGGTGTGCAAAGTGCAGTGGGGGTGTGGAGGGTTGTGTGAAAAATCCCGCTCCAGCAACTCAGTAATATAGATGGATATATGTATAGATATACGCAAAAGTTTCTGCAGCTCCATGCTTCAAGTAGAAGCTATCACAGTATAAGCGAAACCATCAGTAAAGTCTTAAAGAATAAAAACAACTTTTTTGTTAAAATCGTTTCACAAGACTTTTTTTAAAGCAAATACGTGATCAAATGACAAAGTTATTTTCAAGATTCTTTGTTTGTGTAAGTTTTTTATGTTTTTAGTCTACCATTGCGTTATCACATAATTTTCTAATTTGAGGAACAATACTTCATCAATGATATTTTATCAATTTCTCTTATAAAATACTGCATACACACATATTTTTGGCATTAAAATTATTTATAAGCTGATTCTAGAATCCTTTTGGTCGTATATTAGATGTCTAGAAAGTGTGATATCATAATTGTAGTTATGTTAATAAAATTTAATGCTAAATTAATTGAATTTTTACCAAACTGGACTCATCAGGTGATGCCAGACTCAGCAACAACACACTTACGTTGACAGTCAGAGTTCCTGAAAAAGAATGAGACAATAGTTATTGAAGTAAAAGTTATTCTATAATTCACTGACGTTTAAATTGAAATTAGGAGAGCTAAATTAAGAAGCTTATAGCAAGAAGCTGATATAATAATATACAGTAATCCAATTATAAGTATTTTTAATAATGTAAACATATTATATGAAAAAAATACGTGTGTCAGGTGCTTAAAAATAATTTTAGACCAATGAGTATTAGTTTTATATCGAATTATATAAAGAGTTGTGCAATAATAAGAAAATAAAATTTCATGCCAAGACATTTAACGTACCAAGGGAGCTGTAGAATAGAATGCAATATTACATATATATAGATGCTTAGGCTAAGGAAAGGAACAGTTGAGATTTTCCTTGAAAAATTGGCCAACTCTCAATTGCCTTGAAGAAAAAGCCAACTCAGAATTGCTGAAAAGAAAGATTCAGAGAAATGTTTTTTTTTTCTAAAATCAAGTAGTGGCAGCATAAGGCATGGGGTAAACGTAACTAGGGGTAAACGAGGGTATTATTGCGGTATTCTCAAATAGTGCGTGTATTTTAATTGAACTGATGAGTTGTGGTGAGTAAACACTTGAAATCATTGAATCAAGTTATAGAGTACCTAATTCATTGAACGTCAGTTCCGAAATAGCCTTAAAAACTTTACATTTTCATAACAAAAATCACGTCCACAACAGCTGGTACATACATAACCTCTTTTACTATGATGGTATTATTGTGGATACCTCGTTGATTTAGCATTGAAATTAAGCACAATAGTACGTGCACAATAATATATACAGGCCCGCAATAATACCAGCATTGACAACTAAACGTTACAACTCCTTTTTAAATCAATATTTATGAGTTTATACATTTATAAAATTGGAATTCAGTGGTTTTTGAGTCTAACATTAATAAAAAAAAAGGATTACAACGATTTAACGAACTGAATCTCTTCGATAAATGTTTAAAGCTGACTTCTAAGGAAAACCTCAATAATATCCTCGTTTATCCCTATCACAAGGATAATAAGACACGTAAAGAAAAAGTCCCATAGAGGTGCCACATGCCACAAGGGTGTAGAGTGAAGAACGAACCCTAGCCCTCCTAATAGAAGGTAAACACTGTACCACTGAGCCACTGGTAGCTCTGTACGTTGTAACTGTACGTATCAGTGCACCTATATATTGACGAATGCGCTTTAGAAGACGCATTGCGATCACATAGCAGAAGACTGCGTGATGTGGAGTTCATAAGATCGCGATCGCATGTTTGTAGAAGAGAGCTGCGGATAATGGACTTCGTCAAAGAAAGAATCCCCTACTACTACTCAATTAGTATCCTGCAAAAGCGTTCTGTAGATTGTTAACACGTAGCCAAGAAAGGTGTTGTAATAAACGAAACAGCTAATGAGAGTAACAGAATCCGATACCAAAAGTTGAAAATTGTTGTTTCACTAATATTTTTTTCATAAAAACGATGTTTTGTTCAAAACCTATTATTAGGCAAAAAAGGTAAGCAATTGTACAGAAATACGTTTAATCCTTAGTACATTCTATATAAGACTTGTTGTATTCAACTGCTTCGAGTACTCTGAGCAACCTAAGAGCCATTGAGGTGTAAATCTGTATTCATGGCCAAGACTGTATACATAGATATACGACTTAACAATTCTGGGTTTGTTCGGTGCTCTTGAAGCACTTGAATCGAACAAGCTTACAAAATATAAGATCTTCCCATTTTTTTATAAGCCAACTGTGTAGTAAAACTTCTATTTGACTACATGTGAGTAATGCACTCAACTTTTTTGCGTTATAAAATAAAGTGGTGTTAGTGGGATAACTTTTTTTAGTACAATCCACAATCCACAGCTCTCTTTTCGAGGCGTACAATCGTGGTCTAGAAATACTTTATAGATCTCTCTCATACGCGGATAGTATGTTATAGTTTTTGTACGAAGTATGACTATCTGACATGTGGCTGCAGTGTATTTTCTAAAGCGCATTTATATACGTAGTCTATATCAAATTAGTGCTTCTACTACAAAGTTTACGAAAAAAAAAATTTCTCTGAGCTGGCACCAACTTATAGGTACTTAGTAGTTGGCAATTCTGCAAGGAAAGTCTGAGTTGGCATTTTTGAAAGGCAATTCTAAGTGGGCATCTCCTTTGACCCAACTGGTGATACGCTTCGTAGGTATTATTACCCGTATGGATAATAAAAAATAGTCTTAATAGTCGATAGCAAGATCGACAAAGTTGAAAAGCTATAACATTATCACATAAGAATAAGTTTTTTGTTTATATAATTATAAAACATAGTTTTAAAAGTTTTGAAAAATATTTTCCATTTTAAAATTGAAATCAAATATAAACTTAGTAGGAATTGTTCATATAAGTCCAATAGAAAACAAAAGAGGTTAATTCTACATATATCCCTTGTCATCTCACTCTTACTGGCATGATCAAGGAAATTTGGATTCAAAACTATGTATGCCATCTGTGTGCATCCTAATTAATACATCATAATTAACTCTCCAGTTTTAGCAACCTAGTTACTAAGATGAATGCGTGCTATGTGCGCTCTCTACGATACGTATAAGGTAAATGACAGTTATGTTATACTATTGTTAGCATACATTATTGTAAGCTCCTAAACTATTGAATCATAAGAATCATGCTTGCACACAGGTTTTTTTTATACAGTAGAGATAAATTTGATGCATATTAAACTATCAAAAATTTTTTTCTAATGAAACTACATATTGTAAAATTTTTTGAAACCTAACGGCAATTTATTAAAACTAAGTGATTATTAGCAACATTTATACAACGAAAGTTAGTATACTAAAGTTAAAATTAGAAAACGAAAGAAATTAGAACAAGAAGAAAACTCATACTTTACGTTTATGAGTTTTTTGGTCACTGCCAAAAAACAATTTTAGTAATGCTAATTAAAAAAGCTGGTTTTTACAAAGTTTTTTGTTTAGCATAGAGAAACATAAAAAAAATGGCAGAGATTATATTTTTAAGCTTACTCTGTCTGCAGTATATCAGTTAATTTTAAAAGCACGGCTATGAAAAATATTCGAACACTTATGGACTATAGTCAAAGTTACTAAAGAAGATGTCAGTTAAATAAAAATTACCCTTCACCAAAACAAGATAGCTGTATCATTCCATGATATATACGCCTTCGATTCGCATAGCTAAACGTTCAAAAGTTGTATTCAATCAAGTAATGCTATGGGATTTATTACGGAAGGTGAGGAAAAGAAGGGAAGGGATCAAGCAAGATCTCTATAAATTTTGTAATAAAATTAGAGCGGTGATCGATAATGGTGTCAGGTCAACTTTATGTTTTAAATAACGTACATTATAAGGTATCTCAACTTTGCCGTCGCCCTTCAGTGTTACATGTATATTATACACGTCTTTTATACAAGACTTATGTACATTAAATAAAAATACCTCATTATACATTATTACCTGTGTGTAAATTCTCAATGTTACATACCTAAGAATAAATATGAAATTGCCTTGCAAATCCTTTTTTAACAAATAATTTTTACGAGTATTTCTTATATAGTATACTTATATCATAAGCTTTATAATGCAGTTAACCATTTATATAACCCTTTGAAAATGTATGTATAGATCCACATGTACGCATCAACCATTTCTTACATGGGCACATTATCCCCATCTGACAGTTGAGCCATTCTCATCTAGGAAAAGGAACTTAGGTAATATCAAGGAGCCCCCTATTTGAATTTGAAAAGCTTATCTTAGTAGTAGTGCCATTTGCTGGAAAATATGTCTGGAAAGTGTAAAAAAATTAAAAAAAATGGTGTTTGGGGACCAGTGATTAAAAAAGTAACGAGAAAAGAGTAGTTTTACGTTGATTGCTGATACTTCCAAGTTTCCGATAAAAGTGGTTAAAAGTAGATAACCTACGAAAAAGAAACACATTTTAAATACATCGTTTCGTTATAATCATGTAAGTGTTCAAAGTATAGGAAATATTTAAAAAAGAGTAGCAGTTTCATTCTAACGTATTAGAGAAGAAGAAAAATGTGTGCTTGTCATCTGACAAACCAAATTTTTTTAAATTGAGTGAGTAACGTAAAATATATTGTACTTTTAATAGTTAATGTTCCTAAAAATAAAAATCTATATTTCCCTACCATGAGACATATAAAACTGGAAATAATTGTCAAAAAAATCTATTATAAATAAGGTGGCAGCAAGTAACACTAGTCTTCAAGCACAGAAGAAAAATTTCTATTTTTCACTAAGCTCTAGAAAATATACCGCACGATAAAATGGGATTACCATGCAAAACATTTTTACCCTCAACAAAGTAACGTTTTTCATCACCCACATAATCTATTAAGTATGTTAAAGAAGCTACATAGCTTGTTTTTAATTTTTTTTTTAGCTCAGTACTTATAACTTTTAAGTAACAAGTTCAGATTTAAACGTGAGTCTTGCACCTATGTCAAGTACGTTTCTCATCCAGCAAGCGGTGCTACTGGAATTAAAGTCCCGAAACATACAGCAGGAGTTTAAGAACGTTTAATACACAAAGCGTTTTGGGTAGAATCTTCCTGAAATTTCAACAGGATATTTGTAATGATGTTAGAAACTCAAACGTAAAATTTAAGACCGTTTTGCAATACCGTTTTTTAGATATTAGATGTTGAAAAAACTTCTACTTAACACGTAACCTTATGTAAGACGCATATAAAAATGGAATTCATCAGAAACCATTTGGTACAATTCGTCAAGTTTTTTTGCAGGACGCAACACTATAAGACTAGTATTATATTCAATTTTCAGAGGGATTGATGAGATATTGTTGCAATTGAAGAAAAAAATAGTGTCAGACGCCTACACATAGATGTACAAATGCATGAAAAACAGCTGCCGGTGCTGCCAAATGCTCAATCCCCCCTCACTGCACTCACTACATTTCCCTTTTAACTGTAATGAACG